GTATGACCGATCGGCAGCGGCTGCTCACTCCTCCATGATACCTGATCCCATCTCTAATGTTTTAGAGGCCCGTGTTTGCTCTGCTCCTGATTTGTATTTTTTAAATGGACTTTTGAGCTTGAGTACTGTTCGTTATTTCCATATATATCATCAAAGACTTTTTAGATGAATTTTTAAAAGAAAGTTCAAGCCCTTTTAACTAGTGACTCATTATTTCAGATACTTTATCCTTTGATTAATCCTTACCTTATATCGTATATTTCCCCTTTTCTCTTGCTATTTCTCCTCTATAGAAGAAATTCTTAAGATGCTATCAACCCATGTTTTGAAGTTAACTGCTATTATAATAATTATTCTGTTCCCTTCTTGCAAATGATTCCTGTTCTAATCAAAATATACCATTTTGCTTATCGAAAGTTGATTTCTATATTAATTTGTCTACAAGCCTTATCTTTTGGTGTCGATAAATTTATCGTGGAAAGAATTCCTTACTTTGATGACAGAGATATCCAAATGTAATTTCTTTATTAATTGGATGGTCTATTACATTCTTGGAAGAAATAATGAAATGGATCAGACAAGGTATACTCAATGATACAACATAAGCAAGCAATATATAAAATTAACAAAAGAGGATTAAAAGCTGTGATTAAATTTCCCACAAAAATTGATATTAAGAGTTACAGTGTATAATGGAATTGTCTTTTATTTAATGATAATGAAAACCATTATATAATCACACGATATCAACTGGCTTACTGGATTTATTATCCTTAATTAAACTACGATCACATGTTATTTTAGAAGAAATTAAAATATACGATGTATGACAGTTAAAGAATCAAATTCAAAATTTAGTTCGTGATAAATTAACGATGAGGGTGATGCACAAGCTTTGAAAAATGTTTAATTTATCCCCTGTTTTTTTTTAACCCTATATGAAATATGCATGTATCGCAATACATATATATATTTTTAAAAACAGTTGGAAATAAACATTTGCAATGGAGAAACATACTTATGTTCAGATGCAGCATTTCTCATACGGATATAATGCCCAGCATTGTCATATCTTAATCTTATTACCGAAGCAATAAGAAATAGATATCATTTTATGAGTGCCCTACCGGCCTTGCGGAGGAGGATTACCCCTCTAAAACATACCCTCCCCCGGAAAACTGGCTAAAGACTAGGATTTCTCACCAGAAAATAGGCTTTAGAGAAGGCTTTCTCTCACGAAAAACTGACTCTTAAGTAGGATTTCCACCCCCAGGAAATCTCTCACTTAGATTTAATTTTCCAGGGAAATTTTTTTATCCTATTCTGTTTAATAGTTAAAGAGTACAATCTAACCCAGAGTCAAATTTACACCAACTGAAATATTATTCATTTATCCAAAAGTGCATCTCTTTTTGTGTAAATTAAAACAAATATATTGAAATATCATAATCACTGGCTATTACTGCCACTAAGAAATTATCAAAATGGCCTTAGAAGTTCAATTTTTTATTATTCTTGATTTTTGATCGAGAACAATTTTTATTTCATTCGGATTTGATCTAAATTTAAAAAAGGGTGCATTTTCTCTTAAATGTCACAGTTTTATTCAATTTTCTTTTCAAAATATGACTGTCTAATGTTTCCTCTCTTTGATGACCTGTTTCATAAAGATCTTATTTACATTTTGACATATTAACAACCAATATGTATTTTTTTTTTTAGGAAAAAGTAAAGCTCCTCTGAGAAATTTCGAGAAATTTATTTCAACATTAAGGATTACATCCCTCATGCATAACTCTGACCCTTCGACGTTTTTGGCTCCAGTCTTTGCCCCCACCCCACCCCCTTTTATGCGATTCAAGTTTTTTTTTTCCCTTTTTTTCCAAACGTTTCTCGGCATGAGCATCACTGAAGAGACATGATTTATTGCAGCCCGGAGGATCGGGCTGCTCTATACATATAAGTTTAAGTGTTGGTATATGGGGATTGAGGTGGGAGAAGTTATTCAGAATTAAAGGTTTTCTAAACATTAAAAAGATTGTTAATCAGAATGTTCTTTCCCTTTATAAATTACGAGATACACAATATATTTACTTCCATAAAGTGAATATGTAAAAATATATATGTTTTTCATATTTAATATATAAAGTTGCTTATCATTTACTATCGAAAAAACGACAGGTCCCTTTTTTAGAACATCGAATTTCACTTATCGCATAAAAACGTACTTTACACAGCTCGTGTTTTATATTCTTAAGGTGAAAGACATTTTTGAAAATACATGTAGGTGATGCATGTGTCTGGTTTCAAATTATATTTTATGCAGCCAACATTTACTTGAGGAATTGATGAAGTTTAAAAGGGTATCGTTTTTGTTCGATTTTCATCCGACTATAAGTTTTCAAAATATTCTCGACTATCGTCTCCATCATTTAGACGCATGCCTTTTTCACACATATCGAAGCGGTTTGATGATCAAGACTCATTTCCGTTGTTTATTCAATTGATGGTTACATCAATGTTTTCTTGTCATCTGGTGCATAAGTGTACAAGATTTACATTGATATTATGAATTAAAAGCAAATTTTAAGTTCTACAGTGTCTTATTTGCAAATAGACTTTAACAATCTCTCGGAAAAATATTTTAAAAAATCTTATGAAATAACTAAGAGCTCATCTTAAAATCTGATTGAAATCAACAATTTAAAAAAGATGGTTTAAAGATCCATGCCAGTAAATAAAATATTGGTGTGGTATTTTCCCTTAAAATCTTAGAATAAAACTCCATGACTTGAATATATTTTAAGAGTTCATACTACCATAGAGCATTATATTAGGTTTGAACAATGTCGAATGGTTTATGATGGCTCCAAATCTTCAGATTTAGTTTTTATAAGGTTTGGGATAATCGTACTTTTGGATAGGACAGATGGTGGAAATTTGGTTCTGATGTGAGATCTTGTCAATGGGAAATTTTACTCTATAGAGCACAGATTCCGGAAAGGGGGAAGAGAAGGTGCAGGTGGCTATGGAGAAATTCTAATTTACAACACCGGTAAAACTAGAGGAGAATATTAGTTTTCTCTCCATCTGTTCATCCCTCTGTGTGTCAGTCAGTATGTCCTAACTGGTTTTACGGACTTTTCCCTACACGCTTGCCGATATTGAGCATTTGCATTTTGTTTCGCTTCAACAATTTTTGACTTTAATGGAACCAAACTAGGTATTGTAGTAGGGGACTAGTATTGCCTATGTAATTCTCTCAGAATGCTTGTTCTTAAAGCTTATTAAAACGTTCCATTCATCACCTTGACATTAATGTACTAATCTCTCGATAGGTTTCTGCTATCTAAGAGTATCACTTTATCGTCACTTTATAAAAAGGGGGTTTTGCAAATCTACTGAAACATGCATGGATATAGGTATTAAATTTGTCTCTTTTTATAGAGCAGTAGTTCCTCCCAAGAGAGTCTAAAAGGAAGCTTGGACAGATAGGACACTAGCGACTATGCATTCAATATCATTGGGTAATAATTAACTGATGCATCATGTACCTTATGGAGAAGGCATAAACACCCAATGCCGGCTGAATAATTTATATATCTTACATATCAAATATTTTCTAGCAATATAGGGATTCGCCTATATATGAAATAATAAGAACTTGTTATATATTTCTTAATGGCTTGATTCAAAAACACTGATGTTAATTTCTTTATTTCTTTCATAATGATATGAAATAATTTTTCATTTAATGAAAAAGATGACGATAAGAAACAGTGATCAGTCTCATACAGCAAAGAGTATACAAATCATGTTCAGGGCAAAAAACACGGACCCATGGAAACATCAGAGGAGGGATTAGGTGTCAAGGAGAAATAAACATCCCCGTCGATCGGTCACACCTGTTGTGAGCCCCGTTATGGCTTTTTCTACCTTCTTTCATTTTAAATTTATTAAATTTCCTAGTATGCTAGTAATACTAGTATTAAGATAATATGACTGTATTTTTTATGTACAATGTTTTCAGTCAATTTTTGTACATACTCCAGAATGTTTAATAATTCAAAGTGACAATGAGAAATAAATGAAATCAGAGAATGGATTGAATTTAAAGATATCCAGCTTTTCCAGGCAAAGATATGTGCCTATGAAGAAATATTTATTTTAGGAAATGCAATAACATTGATTATACAGACTGAATTAAAGAAATGTAATTTAATGGTACTTTATTTCAAATTTTAATGTTTTTAAGAAATGTCGGTATCCTGTCATAGCTTAAAACTAAATGACATAATAGATGAGAATTTCTATGCATTCAAACCTGGGTTCAGAATGTGTAAGTGGCAATGGTACCGTAGTATCAATTTTCCCTTAAAAATGTGACTTTTTGGGAAAACAAATATTCATAATTAACGATAAAAGATAATGATAATAAAGAACATTTTCGAGTTGTTCAGAAACTATTTCTTGCAAAATCACCTTGTTAGTGTCCTTATAATCTTATACCATGCATTAAAACTATGTCATTTTTGTTTATAGAAATGCTTCCACAGCGTCAATTATTCTAATTAAAAAACATATATGAATATTAACTCTCTGTTTTATACAAAGAACAATCATATTCTAAGAAAGACAAGTTGATTTTTCCATTGAATTGAACTCAAATTGTTATTTGAAGGACATAGAATGATAATGTAGAAAGATAAAGTACCCTGGCGTACATGAGAGTCATTACCCTCATGTCAAACAGGACAGGATGAAAGGTCTATTGAAGAAAAAATCTTCAAAACCACTTCATCAACAAAGCAAAAAGGATGCAACAAGTTACACGATATCGACAGCTGAGACGCAAAATGCCGACAGAAATTCAATTTCTAATACCTCTAGGGATTTTCTTCGAGTAAATACTGATAAGGCTTCTTCAGATGGGGTCCATAATCTCGCAAAAGCTTCAGTAATTAGACATTTTATCACATAAACATGATTTTAAACCTTACCTTTTTCCGAAGAAGAGATGTCACTGAGAATACTTCCAACAACACTCGAATCTGACAGGTTGGTGACGAGGTGAGTGCGTTTTACGTTAAAGCCTTGTTTCATGAGCTCGTTTTCAAGTACAGGTACCATCTGTCGCCAAAACATATCATCTGCTGCAATAATGGCAACATTTTGCCATCTAAACCACTCCAAATATTCCACCATGGCTTCTGAGGTAACATCAAAACCACTGGACATTGATAAAACAATGCGATTATCTTGATGAGGTAAATAATTATTGGCTAGCACCAAAGGTTTTGAGTAGTCCATTGCAAGCGTGTTCAGAACCTGAACATATTTATCAGGTACATAAGCAACCAGAACACTTAAAGACGTGTTCGAAAATATGTTGTCCAATTCATGGAGTAATCCAGACTTTCCAAAAAGCTCATAAATTTCGATATATACATTAAAGGTTACATTAAATTCATTTGTAAACGTTTCCTGAGATTTGGAAAATGACAAATCCACTAAGGTTTTGGTAACTGTAAGAAAAGACTCAAGATTTAAGATTCCAACATTAACATCGACAGACTGCAAAGAATGCAGGCAGATCAAAAGGGTTAAAATTCCTATGAGAATTTCAAAATTAAGTTTTCGGCCTCCTTCTTTGTTGTAAACCTGCGCATTTGAACATGTCATTTTTTAAGATGAGGAATGGTCTCATTTCCGAGATCATCAGCAAGTGATTGCGTTCCATATACCAAGAAGCAATTCATTTATCACTCACGGAATTAGGAGCAGAAAAATATCATTATGTCTCATTTTCTATAGCAGATCAAAACTCGTAAGTCACAGCGCTGCTTTGTGGTCCGCCCAGTGAAAGTAAACATTGGTTGTCAAAAGTCATCGTCCCCGAAGCAGCTCTTCAATATCCAATCAGCGATTAACACAGACCAAATCCTTCATCTTTTCCAACTATTTCGTTTTTCCGTGAAATGCCTTTCCCAAGCAAATAAATTGATCAAGTGAATATGGTGAATAATGACAGTCGCTTTAACAATATTACACAAAAAATACTTTTCAACAATTGGATTTTCCCAGTTATTCAAAATATCGAATAATTATGATGAAAAGATCAATATGTAAATATACATTGATTGAATTAAAAAATCAAAGCCATTAAATAATCTATATCGCCTATGGCTCCTTATCTCCTTTGTATGAGGTTAACTCCATCCATTGTTGTATATTTTTTCTCATATCTGATATTACCAATATCGATAAGTTGACACCAGTTCATGTCTTAGCAACACTGCATTTCCTGCGCAGATCGTGCGTGAATACACAGGATATGGTACAAGTTTCGTCTAAACGCCCATTTCATTAAAAGTGTCTAACGACTTCGATGACGAGAGTTAATACGCCATGAGCCCACCTTCATCATTACTCAAGAACTTCGGAGTCACGAAAGGCTCATCGGACTTAGAATTGAAATATGCTGATTAATTTCTCTCTGTTGAGGAAGAAAGGCACTGATCAAAAGCTTGTGAACGTTTAGAAATGAGTATACGGATTTAATGTATGAAAGAACCAGCGATAGTTCAAGCGAAATCAATCGATTTCAGAATCATTACGATTTTTCAATTCAATCGTAGACAATTATCGTCTCTAATGACTCTTTCTGTCTAACATTAAGATACTCATGCAATAAATCTCGTATTATGGACTCGGCATCTAATTTCAAGAAGTAAATGAGAAATGTATTGAAGAACATGTAAATCCACTCGTTATAAATTGAACGGTACCAAGAAAATCTCACTGAATTGCCATGATGCTATAAATTTTGGCTGAATTATTCATTTAAATCTAAAAATAAACAGTTTGATCAGAGAACCATAAACGAGAGAAAGCAAATGAACCCTTTCCTTTTGATAAAGAATTATATAACTTTTTTTGTCAGGCAATCAATAAAATGCAAGTGATGTAAGCGACGTTTCCCAATCGAAAAAAAATGTCACATGACTTACTATATCCCAGAAATCAGCTTTACAGAACGCCAGCAAGATTAATTCTCGACTGCAGTCAAAACATCACTATCGTATATGATTGCTTATTTGATTTGTTAATATTTAGAAATAAGATAAAATTTACTCATTTCCATAAAGGGCAATGTTTTATAAAGAAAACACGAGTAGTGAGCAGTAAATGGGATAATAAACATCGTCTTTGATCGGGTAAAAATATCAATATTAAATCAATGTATCGCGCTATAGCTTTGAAATTGGAGATTAAATAATATCTGGTTTTATCATTAACAGCAAAGTGGATTAATTTAAGAAGTTAGAAATTGGTTTTATGATTGTATAAGAAGATATATAATCATATTGAATTTAAAAGATACAGTAAAAATGATGTTGTTATAATTTTCACCCACATACATATCGTATGAAATGCCCATTTTTTTTTTTTATTTTAAAAGGTTTTTTTATGTATTAATCGAGACTACAATGTTGTAGGGAATTACTCTCAAACTGAACAGTCCAAGTAAGTAATCCTTATGTTTTCATCAATAAAGTCGTTCCAACAACATGTAGCAGCCCTATTTGATTTTACAAAATAAAAGTTCTTTCTAAACATTTTAAAAACTGAATGTGAAGGAAAAATCAGGTATTTTTAAAGCATAGTCTAATGGCTTTTGTCTTTCCTTATCAGGTTGAGGTAAAAGTTTTTGCAAACTTCCAAACGGGTGTATCACGTTTCGAAAATGTACAACAAATTTTCAAACATAAAATAATTCGAGTTACAAATGAGGTTATTCACGTCAATACAACAACATATTGATAAATACAACAATCTTATTGAAGCGGATTCAGTCCTTTTCATGTGCCAGTGCAGTTCAATTGCTTTGCAAGTGTGTCTAGTGAAATATGGCAGAGTTTCTATACATTTGTCCTTTGTCACTGTACGTTTGTTCAAACTTTAACTTGTGATTTTAATATTTCAAAAGACACTTGAACCCTGTGATATATATACGAGGGCTGTTCGGAAATTACTGAGACATTTACTCCATAAAGGAAAGAGATAAATTCACGAAAGTTCGTCAACTTTTTATCAGGAACAAATAAAACAAAAGTGCAAAATTTCTAATTAATAGAATAATTAGATACGTCCCGGTGAAATTGTGTATTGACCTGGAGCAGCATCTCTACGTCATTTTAACGTCACGCCAGCTGTAGATTTTTTCTGGACATGTTGAAACGATCGGGAAGCGCTGACTATGACAAGCCTTTCTACTATTTATTCGTGAAATAAAAAAAATCTTTCAGTTTCTTTGAATAAATGAGATATCTCTTAAGCTTAGAGAGATATCTCTTTAGCTTAGAGAGATATGTCTTTAGCTTATAGACATATCTCTTTAACTAAAAGAGATATCTTTATAACCGAGAGAGATATCTCTTTAAACAAAAGAGATATCTCTTTTTACAAGAGAAATATCTCTTTTACTTAGAGAGATATTTTTTAAGCTAGAGAGATATCTCTTTAAATGAGAGAGATATTTCTTAAAGTTAGAAAAATATCTCTTTAACAACTTTCATATCAGCCCAATTTTGAATTTTGTTTAGACAAAGCTGTAATTTTCGCTCAATATAATTCATACTTTTGGATTTAAAACAAAGAACAAAATCATCGACATATAGACTTCCATGCATATCATTTTTAACCACTTCTGCTATACTGATAATTTTTATGCTAAATAATGTGACCGATAAAATACTTCCTTGTGGTACACCCATTTCCTGTTCAAAATTGTCCGAATATGTAGACCCCAAGCGCACTCAAAAATGTCTATCATTCAAAAAATTCTTTATAAAATTGGGCAAGTGTCCTTTAAGGCCCATACTGTAAAGATCTTTCAAGATGCCATATCTCCATGTACGTGGTATCACATGCTTTTTCTAAGTCAAAAATATAGATACAACATGCTCTTTTTTTAATAAAGGCATCTCCAATATAGGTTTCCAGTCAAAAAGTAAAACCGCTTGCGTGCATTCCTGCTCCAAACAGAAAGCCCATGATGAACCACATTTGCTACTAGATGGAATCCTATAAAATAGTAAAAGAGATAAAATTTTTAGGTATTATCTTTGACAGTAAACTCTCTTTTATCTCGCATATTAAAACACTTAAAGAAAAATGTACAAAGGCATTAGATGTATTAAATGTTATTGCAAATACAAAATGGGGGGGGGGGGGCGGAAAAAATACTCTTTTAAAACTCTATCGATCTTTAGTTAGATCTAAATTAGACTATGGTTGCATTGTATATGGTTTGGCAAGAACTTCATACATGAAAGCTCTTGACGCAGTCCATCATCAAGGCCTTCGACTGTGCTTAGGAGCTTTTCGAACTTCTCCTGTAAATAGTCTATACGTTGAAGCAAATGAGCCACCGCTGAATTTAAGAAGAATCAAACTCACCTTACAGTATATTCTCAAATTAAAAGCACATATTAATAATCCTACTTACGATCGTGTTTTTCATCCGCAAAACGAAAACTTATATGATAAAAGTAAAACATGTATAAAACCTATTGGTCTAAGATCTAGAAAACATACAGGGATTTTGAACTACATGTACCTTTGGACATAATAAAACCTACAAATTTCTCTGAAATACCGCCAAGGAAATTAATTAAACCAATTGTAGACACATCTTTAACTGAATTTAAGAAATCAGAAACCAATTCTCTTGTTTTTAAACAGAAATTAGCCGAAATAAAACAATCTAAAAATTCTACAGACGAAATTTATACAGATGGTTCCAAAGACAAAAATAAAGTAGCAGCGGCTGCAGTCAATAAAAATAATGGGTTTTTTTCTTTAATGCTTCCAAATGAAGCTACAATATTTACGGCAGAAGCAAAAGCCATACAGCTTGCATTTAAATATATTAAATCTTCTAATGACAACTCTTTTACAATATTTTCGGACTCGCTTTCTTTGAACGAAGAAAGAAATCTCTATACAGTAAAGAGGTATCTCTTTTCGCTTGAGAGATATCTCTTTTGGACACTTTTGAAAGATATCGCTTTCACTTTGAGAGATATCTCTTAAGATAAACGTAGAGAGAGATCTCTTTTACTTTAAGAGATATCTCTTTAACTTGGAAAGATATCTCTCAAAGTAAAAGAGATATCTCTCAGGTGAAAGAGATATCTCTCTAATTGAAAGAGATGTCTCTTTATTGTTAAGAGATATCCCTGTTTACGAAGGAAATATCTATTAAAGGGAAAGAGATATCTCTTAAAGTGAAACAGATATTTCTCTTGTAAATGATTTGGAACGACTTTACCGATCCCCAGAAAAACGCGAAAAAACGCCAAAAAAAAAAAAAAGAAAAAAAAAAAAAAGAAAAGTATGAGGTTTTAAGCCTTTTTGAGCCCAAAATCGAATTCTATTTCGAAAAGGTTAGTTTAAAACTTCGTTTTTAAACAAATTTTTTTACCTTGTTCTCTGGAAATAAATAATATTGTTTATTCAGTGAAAAGACGACAAAAATTAAATGTCAACGAAGCGCGTGCCGCGCATGCTGAGTGCCGTTTCTTTCGTACTTAGACATTTTTTCATGCAAACAAACCAACGAGATGTCGTTGAAGCTGAATTAAGCTGAATAAAGATCTTGCAACAATACAGAAGCAACTTTATTTTTAATTAATCTAAAAGAACAAGACACTAACCCTAATCTCTCGGATGGTATGCAAGGACTAACCCAAAT